AAATGTTAACTATTCTGCTTTAAATTAGTTATTTAAACATTTTTTGAAGTCCTTGTTACTTAAAAGTAACATTATTTTTTTAAGCTTTGTCAAATATGTTGACACTTTTGATGCTGCGATTATATTATAATTCATCAATTAAATGTTGTGTCATGTCACCAATACTTAACATATATATATATATATATATATATATATATATATATGTCCATATGGTCTTAACGACATAGACATGGTTGGGAAGCCTAGCAGTACGACAATTTTGCACTTTTGCTAGGTCCATTAGCCTTCAAAGCGAAATAAAATCCGTTGTGAATTCTTGAATTTAAAACCTGAAATAAAAATAAAATTGTTAGAGCATGAAAAAGTTGAATGATTCCCATCATCCCTTGAATCTATCTAGAAAAGTTCCAAATTCCTTAACTTTTGCATTCAATATAGTATGTGTTTCTTGTCAAGTGTTAACAACAAAATCTCTTCTTCATTTTATTTTTCTTCTTAATTCAGAGGCCATAATAGGAAAAAATATTAATATGAAATTGTATTTCCCCTCATTATTTGAATATAAATAGATTTCACTTTAAACTATTTTACAAATAAGAAAACCCTTTTACATTTGATTAAAAATTATGTTTTTAGTAAATTTTGATAAAAATTGATAAAAGTAGTGAATTTCATAAATATTTGATTAAAAATAAGTATGCGAAAAAATAAAATTGGAGATTAAATAATAGCCCTAACAACATACTAAGCTCCCGTTTGTTCTCTTTTTTTTCTTTTTTTTTTTCAAATTTTTAATTTTTTAAATAGTTTTTTTTTTCTTTTTAGAGTATGTGGTTGAAAAAGAAGAATTTTTATTATTTACGTGTAATATTATTTTATGAAAGATTATGTGGTTGAAAATAAGAGGGAAAAAAAGTTGAAAGAGGAAGGGGCCCAAACAGGAGCTAAGTACTCGTTTGAGATTATTTGAAATGTTCTCGCAATCAATAACATTTCAATCATACATTTTTGCCTAGTTTGGTTTTGCGAAAAATTCCTTTTTTTTTTTTTTTGATATCCAGATATCCACTTTGCAGTGACTAAATCCTGGAGTCTACACCTTGGCCCCTCAAACTGCAGATAGGTTAAACCACAAGTTGTGCCCCAAATTGACCAGTACTCAAGAGCCCCCCAACTGATCTGCCAAATTGCCAAGCAAGTCGTTTTCCCATCTTTGCACATTATCTTCCAATAGAGTTCCTACCTTTCAGGATAAATCCTGCCTTCCAGGAGAATATCTGCCTTCCAAGAGCCTTCCAAGAATCAAACTCACAACCTCTGATCTGCCAACCTTGAAGCGCCCTCATCTTTGCCAGTTGGGATGTGCCCTGGGGGGCGATTTTGCAAAAAATTCTATCTTTACCAGATGTTGATAACAGTTAAATAATTGTATGATTGTAAAGTTGATAAAAATGTGTGGGTAAAGTTAATTATTGATTTTCGTTTAAATTTTTATCAACTTCTTAGCTAAATCGAACACGTCTAACTTTTAACAAAATCTGATAAAATTGTCGTCAAATAATTCCTAAATCTTACTAACGATTTAAAGAAATAAACACGAATATTGGTGGCCATTCCATTTCCGACAGGGCTTAAATCATTCCGTTCTTCTTTCAAAAGAGAGCCTATCGTAGACCATACAAAATATGCTTCAACTACATCATTATCTTTCCATTATTCCTCGATCAGTGTCATACTCATTAAAAATTATTTTAAAGATTAAGAAATTATTTCGAACATATTTGTATAATTTTTGAAAGTGCTTTTTGAGGTTAAAAGTGTTTTAAAAGGAAATCGAACTAAAGTTATTTTTTCAAGAAACTCTTCTACTAGAAATAAATATTCCGTCAAATGGAACCTTAATCTTTAGACAAAATTGTTTAAAATAGGCACGTTTGGATAAGCATAAAATTAAGGGAGAATTATAGCCAAAGTACCAAACCTTTCGTTTATTAGCAAATTTTGCCCAAACCTTTTATATGTGTCATCGGAGGTAACAAACCTTTACAAAACTCACACCCGAAGTCCAAATTGACGGTTTGCGTTAGTTTGACACCAAAAACCATCAGTTGACCTCAAAATTAAAAATCTAATAATTTTGACCGAGTAAGGCAAGGGTAAAATTAGGGATGGCAATGGGTCGAGTCAAGCCGGCTCGACCCTCTCGTGTCCTCACGAGCCACGAGCTCGTGGGCCGAGTCGAGCAGAGCCCACGAGCTGCTTGCGAGCTCGTGATTTTTATTTTATTTTTGCAAATTTTTCAAATTTTATTGATAAAATATTATTTTTTTCCACTTTTTTGGACGAGCCGGCTCGTGGGCCGGGCGAGCTTGACGAGCCGAGCGGGCTCGGCTCGTTGGAAGCAACCCCCGGCTTGGCTCGAGCTCGGACTCGTCATTTGACGAGCCCGAGCAGCCCACGAGCCGAGCTGACGAGCCGCTCGGCCCGTTTGACATCCTTAGGTAAAATTGTTACTTTATAATTTTATTATAAAAAATAAATAAAAATTATTTAAAAAGGAAAATAAAATAATAAAAAAACTCGCCCCCTCCCACTTCTTCACCAATTGCCGGCCACCGGCACCACTACCTCACCCATAACTTGACAACAACAATCGCATTGGCACACTACAAACAGATCTGGTGCCTCCTATGGTACCCTTTGAGCTCGCTAATATCAGCCACCCACTCGGGAATACAGGACTGTGGCCCCAGCCAGATTCCTAGCAATCCAAACCTGCTTCTTACCTGGAATATCCCCATTCGCCTCCTCTTCCTCCAGCATTTCATCCAACTCCGAGCAAGCACACGGGACTCGTCCAGCCAAAAAATTGGAGCAGACCAATTCAGGTCCCTCATCCTCACCCTAGTTGAGTTGCTGGGTTGTTGACTTTGAAGTTGGGGTCAACATCAGATCCGTAAATGGGTTGTGGGTTTAAGGCGAGGGTTAAGTTATTGTCTATATCCATCGTGACCACCACGTCACCCATGGCTTGACCACCACACCCCACCAATCCAAACTCCCATTCATAACTACACCACAACCTGCGATTGTGCGTATGATTTCCCAGTCGCATATCCGTCTAAACCTTCAACATCACGAGCCACCAGTTTAGTTCATGTATGACCTACACTTTACCCAAAACTTGTCGCTATTCTTTATACACAACCTCCGATCTAGCTCCATATTATCGGCGTAGCACCCAAATACCCAGCTCACCCTGCCGTTTTCCTTTGTTTTGAAGAAGAAGATGCGGTTTTATTATTTTATTTTCCTTTTTATTTATTTTTTGTATTAAAATTAAAAAGTTACAATTTTACCCTTACCTTACTTGGTCAAAATTATTAGATTTTTAATTTTTTTATATAAACTGACTGTTTTTGGGGTCAAACTTACAGAAACCGTCAATCTGGACTTCGGGTACGAATTTTGTAAAGGTTTGGTATCTCCAATGACACAAATCAAAAGTTTAGACAAAGTCTGCTAATAAACGAAAGATTTTTTACCTTTGCTGTAATTTTCCCTAAAGTAAAAGTAAACTTTATCTATCCTATGAAACTTATCTTTAGTAATGGGGGTGTCCCCATTTCAGAATTTAATAGATTTCTTAATATTTATAACTTCTCATGGATTGTGTGAAATTTGATAGAATTTAATAAATTTCATAAGATTTGAATGGATTTCTATTTTGTAGATTTTAAAAGATTTTCACGGATTTTATAGATTTTGGGTAAAATTTATAAATATGCTTAACATAAGCAACAAATTTTTACTTCTTATTTAACGACTCATTTTTACACATATGCATGTTAATAAATCACAGAAAATGATCGAATCCTTGTTCAATTGTTTGTTAAACATTGAATATTATAACAGAGTTTCAATAAAAAATACACCCAATATTCAACAAAATGTGAGAGTGGGAGAGAACAAAAATATGTAGTGTTAAATAATCAAAGTCGTAATCAATATGAATTAGTTCAAAAGACCACAACCTTGTGAGATACAAACACACAGACGTACACATGCATGACCACAAGGCAATTAATTTCATACCCCCAGAATTCTTATTGACCGTGCAGACACAAAAGAAAAAATTATGGGATACGATCCTCACATGTCTTGGCTAGGATTTGCAGGTATATATAGAAAACACACAGCTCTTCCCAAGAAAAATGAATAGGGTACAGAACTTGAAAGATAAATTTGTTCCAGTATGCATACTAGAAATCGTAAATTACCATGATAATTTTCAGCATATCTATAAAATAGTAAACAATATATAGCTTCAATAAGAAAAAATAAGTTCAATAAAAAATCAACTCAATATTCAACAAAAAATAGTAATCTTTCATAAATTATCATCAATTAAAAAGTTGCCATACACGATCTTTTCACAGTAAAGAAAATGTGAGATAGAAAGAAGAAGAAAAAAATTTTCAAGATAGGGGGGAGAGAGAGAAGGCAGCAAATATGGAGAGAGGTGAGAAATGTTGTGAAATTTTTAGATTTGGGTTAAAATTGTTACTAATTTTTTGTACTTATATTTTTACCTTGAAATCCTTCAAAATCTATCTACTTAATGAAATCTTTTAAAATCAACCAGTTATGAGGACATCTAAATTTCAAAACTATCTATTAAAATCTACGTTGAGGGCACCTAAATTTATAAGTATTTTTAAAAATCTAGATTGAGAACACCTATATTTTAATGAATTATATTTAAATTTGAAATGATGATATTTCAATTTATATGAAGTTTTAAAATTCATCAAACTCTAGATTGAGGACACCTCCTAAATTTATTTCTCAAACATGTTTAACATTTCTTGTTTTTATTTAAAGTAACTTTTTCAAAAATTAGTAATTATTTATTTATTTTTTATTTTCTATTTTTTTAATTCTTGACTTGAACATGCAGAAGTAAATTGGCTCCCTAATTCCCAATTAGAGAGATTTCTGTAAGTACAAAGAGAGCACAATATGCAGTGCTTCGTGTCTCCAAGGTCTCGTTTCAAACATAAATCAAGAAATTTCTGCTTTTTCCTTTGCCATTTTTAGATTTTCCCTTTTACCAAATTTAATCCTTCTTCGGTTCATTAATTACTATTTCCATCTGAAGTTTGCATTTTTTTTTTTTATTGCTCAATACTCCTCCGTGCTTTCTTTCTGAAGAGAGCAACCAAAATTGAAACCACCCCCCCCCCCCAACCCGGATCTCTACCCAGTGAACCCATGTGAGCAAATCGTTTATACCCTTTGAATTTCTCATCGTCTTTCTTCATTTATATGAATGTCATTTTTTATGCTAATATTTGACATGTGAAGTGCAGTCTGCAGATAGTCGTTATCTTGGTAACGGGTTTTCATTTTTCGATGCTAACTGAAAGAGGGTTATACTAATTTTTTATAAAATTTAGTTTTTCTATGAAAAAAGTTTATTAGCTTTTCATTGTAGAAAGTTATATTATGTGGTAGACCAGGTTCAATGGGTATTGATTGGGATATATGTTGGATCTATTGTTATTTAATATTGCTATTATCAGTATTATTTGTTTTATTTCCTGTTCGGAAACTGAAATTTTTATTTATTTTAATGGTACCTTGGTTGTGCTTGTGTATTGTTTAGTTATTTTTTAATCTTACTTCTGTTGTCATTGTTTTTAAAGGTTTTACATTGGAAGATTTTAAGCACATGGCCTAGAGCTTAATACAATCGGTTTCTTGAGGTAGAGTTTCACTTTTTTCATGGGTTGAATTCAAGGAATCATGTGTAGCTTTAGCGACGAAGAAGAGGAATCTCGATTTTTTGATGCCCTGGACCACATTGCACCAGCATTGGAGTTGGGTTCAGACTGTCCAAGCATTAAAAATTGGGAATATGATGTGTGGATTGGGAGTCCTCAAAGTGTTAGAGAGCGTCGCAGAAAATTTGTTAGATGGATGGGATTGAACCCAGATAGGTTAGGGGACAATTCAGTAAATGTATATCATGGTGAAGGTGGTGTATTTACAGAAAAGATTAATAGACTTTGGGAGGGTACTGGGGCTGTAGACAAGGCCTCAAATTTTGAAGATGAATTTTCGTCTAGCCGCTCTTCTATGTCAAGTTGGAACACCGATGGTTTGGTTTCGTCCAGAGTGGGTTCTAGTGAAAATTTTGCTTATGAAATTAGGAATTCGAACAGTGGAATTGAAAGTAGTGCGGATGATTTGGGGGAGGTGGGCAGGCTGAGAATACTTCAAGTTGGGAAATCGGACCGATTGCTGATACATGAGGAATTTAAGAACATTTCTCAATTATCTCCCTCAGCACAGCAACTTGTGCAGGGAGAAATGGAGTTTAAAGGAAACAATGCGAGGGTAATGAATAAATTGAAGGGTCGATGGTTGAGTAGATTGCGATCCTTCACATGTATGATGAGTGGGAATGAGAGAGGCTATGATCCACAATCCCATAGGTCCAACCAAGCTCAAGGGACCAGGGTCCACAGAGTCAAGGTTCGCCATTGTCAGAGAAGGTTGAAGGAACTCTCAGCTCTTTATACAGGACAAGATATTCAGGCGCATGATGGGGCAATATTGGCAATGAAATTCAGTCTTGATGGACAGTACCTAGCAAGCGCCGGTGAAGATAAGATTGTGCGAGTCTGGCAAGTGGTGGAAGATGAGAGATCAGATAATACCGACATTCCAGATGCTGATCCGTCATGCATATACTTCTCTGTGAATCATCTATCTGAATTGGCATCTCTGACTGTGGAGAAAGATAAAACTAACAAATCCACAAGTCTGAAAAAAACACCTGACTCAGCATGTATTATACTCCCTCCAAAGGTTTTCCGAATTTTGGAGAAGCCATTGCATGTGTTCCAAGGACATATGGGGAAGATCTTGGATATTTCATGGTCGAAGAATAGTGTGAGTTTACCTTATGCTAATAGATTATGTATTTTTAAAAATTGTTAGAATCTTTTTTAAAGAAATAACCTGCTCTTTTTCAGTGTCTTCTTTCGTCATCAGTTGACAAAACTGTTCGTTTGTGGCGGGTTGGAAGTGATCAGTGCCTCAAGGTCTTTTCACATAGTGATTATGGTATGTACCAGGCTGTAAAATTTGGTGACTTTTCAAGCAATGGCTAATTGTGGATTTGAAGAATAATGCAAATACAAAACTTAAATTCAATTAGAAGTACTCAATTCTTCACCTAAAGAACAATCTGATGTTATGTAGTGACCTGCGTTCAGTTTTACCCTACGAATGATGATTACTTCATCAGTGGATCAATAGACGGGAAGGTTCGCATTTGGCAAAACAGTAGCTGTCAAGTTGTTGACTGGACTGAAATAAAGGATATTGTAACTGCTGTTTCTTATCGCCCTGATGGACAGGTCTGTTGATACTGTTACTTTACATGTTTTAAACTGAACGTTGAGTTCAAAAATTTTTGAGACATGCTAATCCTATAATTCTTTCTTTGTTATTTAGGGTTGTGTTATTGGCTCTATTTCAGGTTCCTGTTACTTTTTTAATATATCAGGTAATTTGCATTGAATTTCTGGACTTCTCTGTCTTTTCCCACTTCTCTTGTTTAACATGGTGGTTCATTGATCTTGTGATATCATATAACTGTACAGATTGTTTTTCCTGCTCTGATAGGATATAATACCTGTCAAAAGTTTTAAAATTCCAGACATCTGACTCCATAATTTGTTTCCCGATTTTGAACAATTTTGGATGTATACATCATGGTTGAGGATTTGCCTGGATCAAAATCTGGGGACTCTTGTTTGAGTAAAACTATCCGTTTTTTACTGGCATTCGATAGATTCTTACCATTTTAAACACTTGTTATGTTTGTTATTTTACAAGCATTCATATGCATATGTTCTCTTCTTAGCATTTGTCTATTAGACACAAGTAGGATGAGGAGATCCAGAGTCTCAATTTCCAATTCTCACGTCTATATAAAACTTGAATTTGCTGTTAAGCACAAATTAGCTGCGGTTTTACCCAAGGGCCGGCCTACATATTGATTTGACACTTCTTATCTCTTGAATCAGATAATCACTTCAAATTGGAAGAAGCTCAGATGTGCTTAACCAGTAAAAAGAAGTCCCCCTGCAAAAGGATAACTGGCTTTCAGGTAATCTAAGTTGCCCATGAATTTGTTATTTCACTTCTCCTATTTACAGTTTTGTTCTGTTAATGTTGGATGCTAAAGTTATCCTAATTTTTGCGTTCAATGAATGCAGTTTTCCCCACAAGATCCAAGCAAAGTGTTGGTCACTTGTGCTGATTCACAAGTAAGAATTCTTAGCGGTGTGAATGTGATTGCAAAATACAAGGGTACGTATTTATGTTTTTCTAAGTTATGGTAGATAAGTAGTTTGATGATTTGACAGTATCCGTCTAGTTTATCCTTATTTGCAATTTAGTGCCTTTTATATTGCATTTGTTTCTGCTATTTTAAGGACATATGAATTAAGAGTCATCATACTTGAGAACTTGAATGCCTTTGGATGTGAATGATTTCTGTTGCCAAATAGTCCAACCATGATAATGTTATGCCATTCTTTTAAGGATACGTTTTGGGCCCTCGTTGAATTCTGTTGGTTCTTACCCACAGCCAAATTATTAGAATTAACTCTATTGGTTTCTCTGCTTAAGGCCTTGGTAGCTGGGGGAACCAGATCTATGCATCATTCACATCAGATGGAAGACATATTGTCTCGGCTTCTGAGGATTCTAATGTTTATATGTGGAACTACATTGGTGGGGAGAAGTATCCTGCCTCGCACCCAAGATCCAGTAGATCCTTTGAGTGTTTCTCGACTGATGCCTCCATTGCAATACCTTGGTCTGGCTTGAAAATTGGTAAGTCAGAGAATGGGCTCGCATCAAGTGAACTGCAAGAACGTTCAACTGATTTATTGCCTTTCTCATCCTCCAACCGTTTTTCTTTGGGACAAGAGTTTTTCTTAGACTCCAGCTCCAAGGGATCTGCGACTTGGCCCGAGGAAAAGCTTCCCATGTCTAGTCCCCATTCTGTTACATCAAAATTGTGCAAGTCTCGATACAAGCTTTTCCAGACTTCTTGCCAGAGTTCATCCATTTCTCATGCCTGGGGTCTAGTGATTGTTACTGCCGAGTGGGATGGACGAATTAGATCATTCCACAATTATGGACTACCAATAACAGTTTAGGACGCAGGTTAATAATTGATAATTTCAAAGATGGAATCTTTTCGATATGCGCCTGTTAAGTCATATCCATCATTGGCTTGGGGCTTCAAAATTTGGTGCATGCTAGGCTGGCACATGAAGTCGATGGCCGGACCCAATCCATTCATGTTGCTATGTCTTCGGATATTCGAGGATGCTGATCCATTCGGCCTGTTCAAATTGCAAACTGGCTGCCAGTTAACAAACATATCAGGTTCGCCTTATCCACATTATGATTGGTCAGCTTAATTCTAGGATTAAACTTCTGGTCCGAGAAGGAGATAGACCCTATGATGTGATGTCAATTGGAGAAGAATATCTGCATGATGGGATGTGGCTATGGGACCTTGTACAAACTCTACCATTTGTTCATTGCAGTGGGACTCAGTAGAGCAAGAGCCTGTGGTCGATATTCGCTTGGAGAAAATAACGAAAACAATGGGGAACGGTTCTTTTACGTATATTTGTTTACTCGTTTGAATGATTAGAGTTGTCGTCTGCCATCTTTGTCCAGACGAGGTTTGTTGGCCATATTTCTGTGTGGTGGGCCAATTCTGGTCGACTAGTTTTCATGGTCTGGATGTCAGACCGGCCGGGAACTAGAGATGGGCTGAGTCGAGTAGCAAGATAAAAACATCATATGTTGCACTAACATGGTTAGCGATGACAATTTTTGTTACATTGTTAGGTTTAAGAGTTGAATTCATAGAACTCTTTACTTTTTGAGTAACATATATAAGTTGAGCGTTTGTTGTGTACAGGATTCACTTGTTTTGTTGTACATGATCGAATGGCGCTGCAATTATTCATGCTAAAGAAAAGAATAAATTGTGTGAGTAATCCGACGAATACCTTTATATTTACTTTATCTTCAACACGTTCTCTTTTTTATGAGTGTATTGGCTATTTATAGTACAGTGTTATCATAGTACCCTCCCACAAAAAGTGGTTCGATTCCCAGGATGAGCATTTCATTTTTGTCTTCCCCAAACAATTTTTTGTGCTTAATATTCAATTCTTATTCTAGATTATGCTCAATTAGCTTTCGACATTTATAATTTATTTTACAAAATTTTAGGGAAAAAATAAATAAAAGTAAAAATATTGAAAAAAGAATGTCTCACTAAAACTTTGTATTTGTGGTATAGGACAATCATTTGTATTCAAATGAACCTTCGCTAAAAATTTTGATAGCAAAAAATCTCGAGACAAAAATTCAGAAGTATATTGATACAAATAAAATTTAAGGTGTATTTGATTGTCAATATTTATCATGAAAAATATGTTTTTTTCATCCAAATTTCTATTTTTGTAATGTTTGATTGCCATTTTTTTTATGGAAAATATTTTCCTACTTTTGGTCATATGACCATATTTTCCTTAAAATCAGGAAAAATATTTTCTTTAGAGAGAATGAAATTTTATTTTTCAGGAAATTCACTCAATTTTTCTCTTTCTCATCTATCCACCAATAAAAAACGAACAAGTATAATATTTTCTAGATTGAAAATTAAATCAATCAAACATATTTAATTAAAAATTTCTATTCAAATAAATTCTAGACAATTGAATTACCTAAAATTTATTTTCTTTACATACAAATTTCATGCTTGTAATAACCAATTAACAAATATGCACTCAGTTTATAGCACCGGGTCACTTTTCAAAAAGACCAATAATTAGAGCCCACCAATCCTCAGTCCAAAAATTATATTTTAAAGAGAAAATTCATAAATACATTAAACAGTTTACTAATTACTTTAAATTTTTTACTTTTTAAGCATAATTTTTCAAAAAAGTGTTTACATAGTTTTACAATTTGTTCCCTCCAAACCACCGCTTATGTCTTCACTAACAGTAACAAATTGAGTTATATTTGTAACACTTCATCTTTCCATCACTACAAAACCACCACCACTATTCTTATCATAGCACTTCGTCATATATATATATATACTGTCACCACCATTACTTATCACCACGAAACAGGCAATGTTATGTTCCCACTACCATGAACCACCACCTATTCGCCATTAACAAAACTGCCATCACCACCAATGCCACTCCAACACAAACACCTAACCCCTGTTTGAGCCTCATTCTATAAATTCTTTAATTTTTTTTTTTAAACTCATTTTCAATTATATATTCTTCCAATAAATTAATTTGATATGTAAACCCAAAATTTTTCCACTTTTTTAGTCATACATTTTTCAAAAGTCATTATTACAAAAAATTATTCTACCAAAAAATTTGGATTGAAACAAGACCAAAACAGTATATATCCACTATTGGTTCCATTTTCATTAAATCATTTTCTCAAGCCATCTCAGGACCATCGTTGGGCACAACGTTGTTGTAATAGCAGTGTCGGGAACTGTTGCTACAATAGTAGTAACATCTGGGAAATGATGGTGGCAAGGGTGGCATAGGTGGCGGCTTGGTGGAGACGATGGGCCGTAGTGGTCGACGACAATTATACTGGTATGATAGCGATTGTGACCTGAGAAATGGGTAAGACTAAGTTAGGGTTTGTGGTGGGTAGGGGTGGGATACACTTCATTTTTGAAAGAAAAAGGCTTACACCTGATTTTTGAAATTATAAGTTAAAAAGTAGGTGTCGGTGTAATTTCGACTTTTAAATAAAAACGTGACAAATGAAAGGCCAACAATTAGAGCATTAGAGCCCAATCCATCGATCCAAATTACTCAAAACCAAATAAAAATATGACCCAATTACAATTGGGCCTAGTCGGTCCAGACAAGCTTTAACTAAAGTCGCATACACACGTGTCGTTCTCAACAGTAAAACACTGCACATAATTGGATGAAAACGTACTGTACACGATCCCAGCCAGCCCCTTTGAACCTATCGCAGTTGCATCTCAGGCAAAATACTACACTTTCTAACTATGCATAAACTGCGTGTTTTCTGTTTCTAGTTCTAGGGTTCATCGCCATCTTAAGCCCCAATATTCTGCACTAATTTGCGGATTTTTAGTTTTATTAATTATAGTTATGGCTGACTGGCAACAATATATTCAATCAGTAATTGTTGGCGTCATTTTCTCATTTTTACTAGCCAAGCTTTTTTCTATAATCTTTGCTTTCCGCGATGAAAACCTCCGAATCACCCGTTCTGCTACGTTGGAACCGGAATCCGAACCCGAAGAATTGCAGACTTCGTCGCTGGAGCTTTTGGAGGAAAAAGAGCCGTTGATTCATGAAAGTGAAGAATTACGTTATGGAAGCTCCAGTGTTGGTGATCATAGTGACAGTGATGATGACTGGGAGGGTGTGGAGAGCACTGAGTTGGATGAGGAATTTAGTGCGGCAACGGCGTTTGTGGCGGCTACTGCGGCCGATAAGGCGGCTCAGAAGGTATCGAATGAATTGCAGTTGCAGCTCTATGGATTGTATAAGATTGCAACCGAGGGACCGTGCAGTGCTCCCCAGCCATCCGCGCTGAAACTCACTGCTCGTGCCAAATGGTGATCTTTTTCCTGTATTAAATACGATGATTTGGAAGTAAATCGAGTTGTTTTTGTTACTTTAATTATGTTTAATGTCTGTTAAAATTGATGTGAGAGTTTAAATGGGATTGCAATGGCAACTATTTGGATTTACTTTTTTTTTTTTTTTTTTTTTTTGGGGAAAAAAGGGGGGGGGGGGGTTTTTTATTTTG